AAAGGGCGTCGAGAAAATGACTTTAAAGAAGTTTAATTGAAATCGGTAAATTTGTTTAGGCGCTATAGTCTATAGCAACGTAGGTTTTTCGGCCGCCATTTTGAAAGTAAAAGTCGGATGATAATGTCGGTGAAGGAGGATCAACCTCGGAAGACTTTTGATTTTATATCTAGATTTGAAAAAAATCGGTCCTGTGGTTTCGGAGAATGCGCGGACGGCGGACTGACAAAAAAATTTGTATTCGTTTTTCGAAGTTACGTATCCTGAAACGTAAAACCTCAAATTTTAAGAGGGGATTAAGTTAAATGAAGTTATAACTTGAATTATGAACATATTATTTTATTGAGCGTGTGAAATTTTAATGTACTTCTTAAAATTAAATAACATTCTTTCATCACAATTGAAGGGTATCAAAATGATGCAGAAGAAACGAATATTACTCAGAAAATGAAATATTCCCTAGTTTATGATGTGAAATTTTACCTTTCTAAAAATGGTAAAACTATGTAGAGATATAAATTAAGTTAAATTTTAGATATTTGTTTTCCACAAAGTTAACCAGTTTCGTGTTTATCTTCTTTTTTAATATTAATGTTTAAAAAAAAATTGTTCTTTCATGACATATATGATTTTTAGATAATAACTGTTTTTACTAAAAGTTACTGGCAATATTTAAGTAAAGAGAATATTTATATTATAATAGGTAATATTTATTATTTAACAACCAAGATAATAGAAATCAACAAATATTTACAATTAGAGTTTCTGATTATTTAAAGCATATGAATAAAATCATGATTGTTAAAAACTCTTGAATCCTTATTATAATAAATACCTATATTGGAAAATATTTTTAAAAAGTTCCATATATTTTATGTTTAAAAAGATTTCTTCTTTGTATGTAGCAAAAAAAATTTTTTCTTATATATATAATAAAATGGAATAGAACAAAAAAAAATAACTTTATTCTGGAACGAAGTCCCTTTAGAATAACAAAATAGTACAAAAGAAAGAGCTTAATTCTGGCCAAAATGCTTGGTATTTAATTTCATTAAATTTTTTATTTTATTTAACTTATTTATTGAAAAATCTTACAATCTGGTTCATAGGACATTTATAATAGTGTTCAGAGATCACATTCACACTCTATATGCAATAAATAAAATAAATTATACAGAAAAATAATATATATACAATAAATAAGTCATTAAATTAGATACATTTATTGAAATTAGATACATTTAATGAAATTAGATTTTTAAAAAAACACAGAAAACATGAAATAATCTTGCGATATACAAAACATTCAATCATAATTTCATAATAAAATAATCTATGTTCAAGAAAGAACATAAATGTAAAGAAAGCAAAAATAAAATCTAATAACTGAATAATTAATCTCCAATAATAAAAAAATACACTTCAGTAAATTAACAATAGATAGGAAACAAATAATAAAAAAAAAAAAAAATAAAAGGGAAAACAAAACAAAATTAACTTTTCTAATTGATGAGTACCGAGTCTATAATAAGTAAAAGAATATATAATATATATATATATATATATATATATATATATTAGTTAACTTTCCGAAGTTGAATTTAAATCCATTTTAAAAGCTAACTAAATATCACTATCAGTGTTTTAATTAATATCTCTTTTCAGTACTGCATTGGAGTATGTGATATAGGTGCTCAGAGCTGTCCCTAAACATTCGGAAATATTGATAATATTTATCTTTGTAAGATTGAAGCAGACGCCCGAGGCGATGGTATTCTACCAATCAGTCTCACTGCTTTTTGATATCATGAATCCATTTTCTTTTATTTTACTTTTATGTTGAAGTAAAATAATTAGAAGTGCCTTCACGTCAGAACTGCTCATTTTCTATTAAAAAAAAACGAATAAGAAAAACATCGAAAACAAATTAGTAATATACAACTTGCGGGAAGCAGGTACTCTAGTTGACTAGGCCAGGCAGAGCGACGGGGCTACTGTATCGCTTTCAAAGTACTCTTATGCGTAAAGGGGCTCTTTGTGTCTGCCCCGGATTAGGTATCGCCACAAGTATCACGTGTTATTGTAACGTAACGTCGGATCGCATTCTGTCTGTACGAGCCTTTATTAATCCACTTCCAAACGATGTTTGTTTACCTCAGTAGCATTTCGTTGCTTAGAAATAATTCTGTCTTTGTTAAGTTGCCACCACGTGACTTTCATATAATTTTGATGTATGAGTTTAAACTCGGCCAGAATGGGGCCCAGACAGCTAGAAACATCAACTAAGTCTGGGACGAGAGCAGCATTAATGAGTGAACTGTTAACGGTGATAAAAAAATTTACGGAAGGAGACTTCTGCCTTGAAGACAAAGATCTGTGGAAGGACACATATATAAATAAAAACAAACAGAAAACATAAACAAACTATAAATGTAAATGAGCATAGGTTATAAATCAATGAAGTATGAAATGCTTCTAGAAGAGTAGATTCCGAAAGTATGCAAAATAACTCAGCGAATAAAGCAATAAGGCTGGAAGATTACCTAGAACTAACCCAGTGAATCAACGTGTTCAACAAGAATCGGCCGATTCATCAGTTTTGTCATAGAAAATCTCCCAAGTTGTGTTCCATTGTTTGTTTACTTTATGAATCTACTTTTCCACTTTAGCATTATGCACTTCATGATTTATTACCTGCGCTTATTTGTATAACTATTATTATCTCTGTTTGTTTTATTTTATATATATGTTTAGTTGTTGGACTTAGTAACGAGAGAATTCCTAAAAGGTTAATATTTGCTGTACCGAATGGTAAGCGTCCGAGGGGTAGACAGAAGCGAAGGTGGGAAGATTGCATTAAAGCCGATCTGAAGGGACTGGGTTTGGACGGCGAACGGTGGAGGGAGGTATGTAATAAGCGATTGGTGGTGTCGGCATCGAACCTTTGCGTTTGCTAACCCTTTTTATTATTATTATTATATATGTTCAGTTTTTTCGCTTTCTCATACTTTATTTTTAATTACCTATTATTATGTAAATATTTAATTTATTTTATGACCATACTGTCATGTTTTATTTATTTTATATTTATAATTTGTTTGACAGGATCATCAGTCCCAGGATAATTAAATTAAATTTCACTTCATTCATAATAAACATATTCAGGAGGCCTTAGAACATGTATTTTTGTTGAAAATGCAGATTCGAAATTGCAATCACTCACGATTGCAATACTTTACCTTCCTAATTAATACTTATAAAAGTAAAAAGTTCAGGTAGTCACAAATCTCATTGGTTGGAAAAACAAAAATTATTTTTTTACTCTAGAAATTAGCATCATAAAACCTAAACATAAACTAATGATTTGGAATAGTATGAGAATTCATCATTTCCACCAGTTGGGAAACAGAAAATCATGTTATTTTCGATATTCAACATGTTATAAAACCAAATTGTTAAGGATGTCATGCAATTAACTAATAATGGTTAAGTTCGGGATCGGTTGTTTCAGAATACAATCAGACACATTCGATTATGTGCTATTGCCAACAATGTGATAGAAATTATTTTGGCAGACCTGTTATCCAGAAGTGACACTGCCATAGCATTACCTTAAATTGTTATCATGTCAATAATAATTATAGCTCATAATTAAACTATTTACAATACTAATAATTCCAGGATAATATATTGTTAACTGAACATGAGAAAGAGACATACTTAGTTGTGAAAGTAACAAATGCCTCCCAATTAATCTAAATAGTAACTAAGGTTACACACCATTACAATTTGTAAGGCATCTAAGAATTAAAACACTATATAAGATATATGAGAATAAATTAAAATTTAACCAAAAAAAGATCAATCCATATTCCTTCTTTTGTAATCGTCAATGGTTTTTTTTTTTTTTCAACACTTACAAGAAAGAGTATGTATAATTGCAATAAAGAAAAATTAGATATATTACCTGTAGGTTGAGGTGGTTGATAGGGTGGTGGTGGGTTTTGTTCAGAATAGCTTGGTTGCTGCCACTGGTTTGGGGGAGGCTGACTGTATGTTGTTTGATCATAAGTTGGAGGAGGTGGATAATTGGTTGCTACAGATGAACCTCCTTGAGAATAACTATAGTTTCCATAGCCGCCATAATTTCCGTACTCTAAACATTACAACCAAAAGCTGAAGTTAACAAGTGCACGCTTCATTAGAGAACCGGTAGAATAAGATTAAGAATAACAGATTTAAACTAAACAATTACATAATCATGTAAAATTGTTAATTAGAAAATAAAACAAGTAATAGCAGTTAAAGATATCTATTTAACCACCCAAATAACTTTAACTACTTACGATTATCTGCCATTGCAAACAGTAACGCTACACTAGACTAATAATGGCGTCGCTTAGAGGGAACTTGTTCAGCTATCGAACGGAATCAGCTGTTCTGCAATGGTTATTTAATTTACGATATTTTTTTTTATCAGCTAATGTATATATATATATATATATATATATATATATATATATATATTATTTTCAGCTATTGTATATACCTATATCTATATATATATATATATATATATATATATATATATATATATATATATATATATATATATATATTATATATAATAACCACGCGGTTATTATATATACTTATAATAACCATGCAGTGGAAAAAGTTATTTGCACATCATGTTTTTATGAATTCAAGGAACAAAAAACTTCGCTTTCCTCTGCAAAAATGAAAAGTACATTTGTTAAAAACTGAGATAAACCTTTTGGAAAAAAAATTACAACAGTCCATAATGAAACAAAAAAATTAAAACAATAAAAGTGCTTGGAAAAAAGTATTTGCACACTATGACTCACAAGCTCTGTTTACTTTGGCATTAATCCTCCTGTTTCCATAGGTCATAGGTTTGTTTACTAATTTATCTGTAATCGTTTATTACCAGTATTCTCTAGTCTTTCAATCAGTTTCCTTTAGTCAATAGAAAATTATCACGCCAAAGACAAGTGAACTGTGTGCCGCAACTCGCGAAACAATTGTTTTACTGAGGAGTCAGCAAAAAACATAGAGCCAAATTGCCGATTTCTTAAGCCGGGCTTACACGATCGGTTTTTCCGTCCGTTTTGAACCGTCGGGCCAAACCGATGGAAAACCCGATCGTCTGAAGGTGAAAACCGTCGGTTTGGATGGAACGATGACAGGCCAAACGGACCGTCTAAGTACACATCGTTCCAACCCGACGGTTTTTTGCTTTGCTAAGTCACATTTTTCTTTCAATTTCGATTTAAAAAACTAAAACAAGCACTATTAATGTCGATTTTGAGTACGTTGTTTATTACGAATGGAAATTGGCCTATCGAGTTTGCACAGCTGCGGATAATACTAATAACTTATGTGCATTCTCAGGAAACCGAACGTTTCTGGGAGATAATTATTTCGAGAGATCCATCTCTCACTTCCCTTTCACTGCAGGTTTCCGGGATTATTTGTCCGAGGGTTGGGGCTGCTATAATTGTTGAAAACTTTAAGTCCTCGCAGTTTCGCCCTGTAGCCAGATAATGGAGGGTGGCTATCAGCCGCTCATGTGTGGAAATGGAGGCTCTCATAACAATATCCTCCCTTTTAATTAAGGGGGCCACTAAATTATGAAGTTCGAAATATGTTTCTTCATCTATCCTCAAATAATTGTGCCAATCGGCCGTCTCTAATTTAAACTCATTGAGAAGATTGGTGTGAGAAAGCGTTTCTCTTTTTAGCAACCAATCTTTGGTCCACTTGGTTCTTTTTCTAGATTTTTTAACCGCGAGCACCGTAGCTATCGCAATCAAAGGATCCATGATACTGCGTTTCTTCTCGTCAGTTATCTGAACCGACTAGTTTCCTCACCATTTTTCATCCGTTTACCCGACGGTTTAAACCGACGAAAAGAGTAGAACTTTTTTTCAGTTAAAACCGACGGTTTCCCCTACCATTTTTCATCCGTTCACCCGACGGTTTGAACCGATGATAAAAACCGAGCGTGTAAGCCCACCTTTAGGGTTGAATTTTTCTACAGTGAAATACATCATAAAAAGGTATGAAGAACGTTGATCAACTGAAAACAGTGAGCATAAAGGGCGTCCAAAAATGATAACTCCCAGGCTGAAGAGGAAAATCAGAAAAGAAGCTCTTAAAAATCCTCTGATAAGTTTTCGGGACCTGGCTACCATGGTCCAATCAACCTCTGGAGTTCAGATTACTAGCAGAACAATTAGATATTCCCTGAATTCGGAAGGGCTCCATGGCAGAGATCCAAGAAAGAGGCCCGACGCAAATTGAGCTCAGGGCAGGCTCAGCACAGTGATAGCAGTTTTGTAATGAAGGAGGGACATAGCACCTAGTTCAGAGACGTCTTCCTAAAATGAATCTAGCTGTTATGTGCCTCGTCCCGATATATTTGGGCGCTAAGCTACTGTTACGGGCGCTAAGCTACTTCACCTCAACGGGGCAACAGAGGACCCAGTTCAGAGCCGTAGCAGAGCGGGCAGGGCCGTCATAGCAGTTTAGTTGTTCCTCTGATCTGCTGTGTTCACAACACAGTTTCCCACGTCCTCTGTTCCTACCTTGCTAGCTCGTGTTACGTTCCTCAAATATTCTGAAATGAAAAGTAGAGAAATAATTCAACCTCGGTTTTCTTTTTAGCTTATCTCCAAATAGTTAAAAAAATGGATGGAATTTCTTTACTTGATTCACCTGTTGATGAAATGCATGATGAAAAATACAAAAATTTGTATGATGATGTGGGTACGAAGGAGTGAAATTTCCGGAGGAACTGATAGAATCGAATAAATTATACTTCTTATCTTATGAATTTTATTATAATTCGTCATCGATACAATAGCAAATACGGATTGAAAAATAACTGATTATTCAAATGTCTCTATAATAACAGGGAAAAATGCATATAAAAGTCTGGAATAGCGGATAAAATTGTATTTGTTATTTGTTACTTAAATAAAAAATATTCGAAAAACGATGTAGGTATTATTTGATCATGTTAAAGTTAAAATTAACTGCAAATAAAATTATTTACACTGTTTTTTATTTCAAGTTATCTTTATATTTTGTATTATTTTTACTAAAAGCATTAATAAACACAACAATTACATTTTTTATCACTAGGTTAACCTGTGACAAATTATTAAAATAGATGCCGATTATGTGATTATTTATTATTTTAATGTACAGGATTTGTTCTCTTATATGACTGTGTATGATTAAGAGAATCTTATATTATTAATGTTAAATTAAATGAAACTATTAAATTATTAAAAATTGAAATTGAATATATTTTCAACATCTATTTTGTAACAGCATGGAAATAAAAAGAAAGAAGTATTAATGCAACAATTACTAATAACACTTCAAACGTGAAAATATAACAAATTCTAATTTATAGGATGTAGGAAATAAAATGGATGAGATATATAAAATAATTAATAATAAATCACAAAATAATTTATGCTCAACAAGTAACACAGTAGATAAGGGAAGGAGTAATCATAAAATCAATAGAGTTTTCAAAAACTACGCCTCCATTAACGTAATAACAGACCCTTAAATCGAAGAAATCTGCAAAGTTGAAATTAACGAAGTACAAATCGATATGCGAGAGACTGTCCTCGAATATCACAACATGGACCGAAATATAGAAGAGATTTTAAATGAAATAAATATTTTCTTATTAATAATAACGTAGTTGATTTGATAGTAGGTACACGAAATAATATTATTATTACTTAGCATTTTCAACTAAACAAAAGTATTTGTTAAATAAGAAATACAATCAACTTTGTTCATATAATTTTATTTAAGAAGTTTTATTTAGTGAAGTTAAGCATTTTAATAAAAGTATTTATTTGAAGGTCTAAATAAATACTTATTTAAATAACTTGTTATAACTCATGTCTTGATACAACACAGCTGGCAAAGCAGTATAATCAATGTACGGTCTTATCGCGGAGCAGAATGTGGGTCGGATCATGAATTAGTAATCGCGAAATTTCGACAAAAACTTAATATAAAAAAAGAGAAAAGAAAACCGTTTCAATTTTGAGAATTTTAATTTGGAAAAATTAAAAAATCCATCAATTAGAAACCAATTCGAGCTAGATGTTAAGAATAGGTTTGAAGCTTTAGAGCTTCCTGACGAGGACCACGAGGATATTGACAAGTTATGGGTAGAGATCAGGGATAATATTAAAGCGGTCGGTAACTCGTGTCTAGGAAAAAAGGATAATAAGAATAACAAACCGTGGTTTGATGAAGATTGCTTAAACATGTGCGAAAAAAGAAAAGCCGCTAAATTAAAAGCTCTAAATAATCCTAGCGAAGACAATCTGGAATACTTCCGAATCTCAAAGAACGAAACGACAAAATTGCTCAAAAATAAAAAAAGGGAGTATCTTAAAAATAAAATAATTGAAATAGAAACTAATAGAATCGAAAATAACGTAAGAGACATGTACAAAGGTATAAACAGATCACGTAAATATGTAGGGCCCGTAACGTCTGGAATTAGGGATGATAATAACAATATTCTGACCGATCCGGTTGACATATTGAATAAGTTTAAGGACCACTTTGACAATATTTTAAATACGGGAAATTATGATCTGTGTCCTCCTTCTGAGTACCAGAGTGCTGAACCATTAATAGAAGGACCAAGTAAAGAGGAAGTTGAAGTAGCTATCGGAAAATTAAAATCATATAAAGCAGCGGGAATCGATAATATTCCTACTGAACTAATTAAGGCATGCGGGGAAGCTGGAGTTTCTAAAATACATCGGTTGGTTAAAAAGATCTGGGTGAACGAGAAATTACCTGAAGAATGGAAAGAATCTATTCTTATTCCGATTCACAAAAAGGGTCCGAGGACGGATTGTAATAACTATCGAGGAATTTCACTCCTTCCGGTATGTTATAAAATATTCACTTTAATCTTAACCAGTCGAATCACGGAATACGCCGAGGAAATTATCGGAGACTACCAATGCGGATTTAGACGGAATCGTTCGACTATTGATCAAATATTTTCTTTACGGCAAATATTAGAGAAAAAATTGGAGTATAACGGTATTGTTCACCAGCTGTATATAGATTTTAAAAAGGCTTACGATTCTATTGACCGCCAGAAACTGTATAATATTCTAATCGAGCAGGGGATTCCAAAAAAACTAGTAAATCTAGTCAGGATGTGCTTGACGGAGACACTCAATAAAGTTAGAATCGGTAATAATTTGTCCGAAAAATTTGAGGTTCGTTCGGGCTTAAAACAGGGGGATTCTCTTTCGCCTGTCCTGTTCAATTTGGCATTAGAACATGCCATTAGGGAGGTAATGCGAACCGAGAAAGGGTTGGATCTGGGCGGGACAACATCCGTGCTGGGCTATGCTGATGATCTGGTACTGTTAAGCGAAGACGTTGAAACTATAAAACTAAATACGACAACGTTAATGAAAGCCGGTAAAGAACTAGGACTCGAAATAAACGTGGATAAAACAAAATATATGGTTAGCTGCAAAAATGGCGATACTACTGGTGATATCGATATAGATGGTAATATGTTTGAACAGGTAGATAAATTTAGGTATCTAGGTTCTACGATAACTAGAAAAAACGAAATTGAAGAAGAGATTAAGGTTAGACTGAAGGCGGGAATGCTTGTTATTTTTCTGTGACAAAACTACTTAGTTCGCGCCTCTTGTCCCGAAACTTAAAAATTAGAATCTATAAAACAATTATCTTGCCTACAGTTCTTTATGGATGCGAAACTTGGCCGCTTACATTAAGGGATGAGCAGCGTCTTAAGGTTTTTGAAAATAAAGTATTGCGTAGAATATTCGGACCGAAGAAGGATGAGTTAACCGGAGAGTTCAGACGGTTACACAACGCCGAATTGCGTGAGCTGTATCCGGGTAATATAATTGAGGTAATTTCATCGCGGCGAATCAAATGGGCTTGTAAAGTTGTTGGGCTTAGTAACGAGAGAATTCCTAAAAGGTTAATATTTGCTGTGCCGAATGGTAAGCGTCCGAGGGGTAGACCGAAGCGAAGGTGGGAAGATTGCATTAAAGCCGATCTGAAGGGACTGGGTTTGGACGGCGAATGGTGGAGGGAGGTGTGTAACAAGCGATTGGTGGTGTCGACATCGAACCTTCGGGTTCGCTAAGCCTTATTATTATTATTATTAAATAACTTGTTAGTTTTGATCGGGAATAGGACATACTGCTGCCCCCTGTGCTGCACCTGCCCTGTCAATTTGCGGCGGGCCAGAAGCCATACATCAGTGAACAAGAATCGCAAAAAGCTCCTTGCTTTTGCTAGGGAGTACATACAGAAACCCTCAAGCTTTTGGGAAAATGTCATATTTTCTGACGAAAGTAAATTTAATTTGTTTGGTTCAGATGGTCGAAGGACGATACGGCGACATCGTAATGAAGTCCTAAAGAAGCAAAATGTTTTAACAACTATAAAGCATGGTGGAGAACATGTTATGGTTTGGGGTGTGTTTCCTACCATGGCTTGGGAAATCTTGTGAGCATCGAAGGCATTTTAAATGTGGAAGGCTATGTGAACATTTTGCGACGTAATTTGCGTGTTAGTGCCGAAAAAATGGGAATCCAGGATCAGCACTACATATTTCCAAAACACACGGGCGGATCTACGGGGAGAGCTTTCGGGCTGAAGCCCCCTCCCCCCAAAATGGAAAAATATAACCATGCTTTATGGGAATTTTTTTTTTTTAAATACCTCTTAAAGTATTATTGTTCGTGTAATTACATTTAAAAGTACTTAAGGAATAAATTAAACACCATTTCATATAGGTAGTTTGTTTCTTTTTGTTTTTCCAAAGTAATTATCGTTATTGTTATGAAAAAAAAAGGTTTCAGGCTGAAGCCCCTCCCCCCCCTCAAAATTAAATCCTGGATCCGCTAGTGCCAAAACATACTGCGTGGAGAACAAAGGAGTGGTTAATATTTAATGTTCCAAGACAGCTCCACACTCCTCCTCAGACACCAGATTTAAATATTTAAAATGTATGGCACACCCTTGACCAAAATGTAAGAAAACACCATATCACTTGTGGACATTACCTTAAACAACTTCTTGTTCAAGAATGGGAACAATGCCCAGATGTCTACAAACAATTATTGACGCAAATGGCCTA